CCATACAGTGAAAAAAAACCCCAAACATTTAGCGCTAGAAGGAAGCGCATACAAAAGTATTTATCGACCACTGGAGAGAAGACACAGTGGAGTTGCATGTCCTGAAAGAAAAAGGCACATGGCTCTTAATACAGACTCATTTTGAACGTGATTAGAAAGAAGAGTTGTTTTTTTAATACACTATTTTGTTTTTGTCAGTAGCAATGTAATTTTTTATTTCCTTCATATATTAAGGATGAAAGGATTAAAGCAAGTGGGCTACAGAAAAAGAAATATTGATGTCATTTATTACCCAGTGAGACATGTTCAAAGTATTTTAAAAATACAAAAATTTTAACTGTCCGCTTTTAAAGGACGGTTCTTCAAATATTACCACAGCATCCATTACTAAAAAATAGTATTTCTTAAGAAATATAGTGTTGTAGTAAAAGAATCAGCATCTGTCCATTTGCAGGCAACATTTATCACATTAAAAACCCCCATACAAATTCTTCTTATTAACAAAGCCTGTAAATCATCAATCCTGAAAGTGACTTAAATACAGTTGCATCAGTTTCTTACTGCCAAGTGACATGTTTGGCATCACTCTTGCAGTAGGGAAGCTGTGGTGTTGTATTCCCCATAGAGCTGGTATTATGAACAACTTCAGTGCAGAGTTTTAGGCTTGAGCCTGTCAGATCTGCTGAGCTGCACCCATCAGAACCACAGGAGGTGGATGGAGCTGCAACGTAATCTGGGAAAGCACACAGGTGGGATTTACTCTCATTGCTGCTCAGATATCTGAAATATTATTCTCTTCACCAGCATGGAATGATTTCATGCACGACCAGGAGCCTTTGATGAAGAACAACATCAGATCCCACCACACACCTAAAAGAAGTCTTCTCCCTTCAGTCAGATTAATGATATCAATGTCACCAACATACCAGCTTTTGTTAGACAGTGAGAAAATAAGACAGAGATCTACACATCCTGAACAGGCACATGGAATCACACACTGCCCTTCTGAATGTATCCAAAATACACCGAGATGGATCTGAATGCCCAAAGTTGAATGTGCTGCTTCATGGGGTCCAGCAGAGACTCAAGGCAAAAGCAGCTGAGAGACCCTGGGAAGGGGACTTTTATGTCTCACTCACACCTGTTTGGGATGGTGAACACAGCAAGGGACACTAAAACACAGGACACTGCACAGGAACTAAGCAACACCCCAGACTATCAAATTTGCTGAATCTAAGTGGTTACAGGAATTGGAAAAAATCATCAGCAGGAATGTGATGCATTGCTGAATGGAAATAAGACCCTGTGCATTCTTCAGAACATTCTGCTTCTCCCTCAAGGAAAATCTTCCTGGCTTGGCAGTGCCAGGATCTCCATAACACCAAGCAGACTGCAGAACACAGGGCTTCACTCGGGGAGAACAGTGGCATTACTTGTGTTCATGAAACAAATCACCACCCAAACACCAACAGATACCATGAGGCAGCCACCTCATCCCAGGCTCTTCTTAGAAATGCAGGGATCCAGAATTGCTTCCCAATTTAATGGACAACCTGAGCAACTTCAGATTGAGTATGGTGCAGCCATAGAAGGCCTAAAGGACACAGCTCTCAGTATAATATTTGTCTCTGGGCCACATTTCAGTATCATTGCACTGGGATGGCAATAGAGTACAACAATTTTTTAGCATATTGGGAAAAACAGAAAAAGCAGAACAGTAAAGCAGAAGTAAAGGCAAGTGAAGTTCCCACATTCTTATCACAAAGGCCTTATTACAGTCACTGCTATTATACAGAAAGGACAAAAACAAGCTTGGGAAAATGTAGATTGAGAATTTCACTGTCATGCCAATCAGAGAATCACAGAAGAGTCTGG